GCGAAGCAGACAACCTCCGTGCTGAGAAGAAGGCTGCCTCGCAGCACCCAGTCGTACCCCAGGTTCCAGAGCAGTGGACCCAGGACTGACCCCTCGGGTACCCCTGCGGCCATGGCCCGAGAGCATACGCTTCCATCGGGTCCCTCGTAGAAGACTGATCTCCCTTGCAGGTAGTCCTCCAATATGGCTCGCAGGTATGGAGGCACGCAGTGAAAACGCAGTGCCTCCATAATACACTCTTGGGGGAGACTGTTCTCTTCTTCTTCTTTCAACGGGCGTTTCCGCAACTCGACATCCTTATGGCGCCTGTTTTGCGTTAGGAGGGTGTATAGCCAGAATCACTCCAGCCAGCCCAGCTCCATCAGGAACGCCCCCAGGGCCTTCACATTGGTGACTGCCTCTTGGAGGTTTTCCGGTGAGCCGAGGTATTTCGCCCGGTATACGGCCACTCCGTTGCATTCCAGCAGAACGTGAGTAGCTGTTTCTTCTGCCTCCATGTATCCTCTGCATAGAGGGTTGTCCGTGACACCTAAGTTAAAAAGATGTCTATTAAAATGTGCATGTCCGGTAATAGCACCTGTTACCATGCACAATGTAGGTTTGCTTAGCTGTGAAGAGTTTTGGAGAGGACAGCCTTCATCCGTGGCAAAGCGAGCTTGGTCTGCCTGAACGTCTCCAGATCGAGCCAGTGTTGCTGGTGTAGTGCGGCTGTGTGCTTGCAGATTTTATTTACGAGACAGCTTACCGGTATCGGGACGATTGGTTCGGCACCTGTTGGGATTGATACGGACCCCTTCCGGGCCAGCTCGTCCGCAGCGTCGTTTCTGCGTGATCCACTGTATCCCTTGATCCATTGGATAGTAATAGAATTGCTTTACCCTACCGTGTTTAGGGTTTGGTGGCATTCTTGCAGGAGGCTCGATTTGACTTAACAGGCATCTAGAGCTTGTAGGACTGATTTGCTTTCGGACAGTATTCGTATTTCCTGTCCTGTTACCTTTCTTGAAAAGATCGCTCTTGCTGCCAGTATGATGCCCATACATTCAGCTTGAAAAACTGTGTTGTACGGGCTTAAGGGAAAAGCGATATGTATATTGAGGTCCTCAGAGAAAACACCCGCGCCCGTGCCCGATGAGGTTTTAGAGCTGTCGGTGTGGATCATGAGACCCTTGTGTGATACCTTGGGATCCTTGTCATCCAGTAGATGTATAATGTACTTTTTGTCAAATATGAAGGCAGGCATTATTTTTTGGGGAAGATTGTTAAAGGCGTTGCGGATGTCTAGCTACACCGCAATAGCAGTCTCTCCCCGACAAGTGGCCGCCTCGGTACACCCCTTCAAAAGGGCCACCACCTTCACCGTGGACCGGTTTCGCCGGAACCCGAACTGGTGCTCAGCCAGATTTGGGTCCGGCTCCCTCAGGTGCTCGATGATACGCCCCGCCAGAATTCTTTCAAAGAACTTCCCGGCGTCATCGAGCACCATTACTACCGCGGCCCAAGTAGGTACTCTAGGTACTCTAGATCAAGTTTTTGATCTGTTTCTTATTTTTCATTATTGTTAGCTTTTAGAAAGCGTTACCACAATACTAAACATGTATAATAATCTCAGGAAATAATTTGATGAGCTTTTATATCATATGACTTTTGTTAGAATTCAAGATCAAATATCTTGGTTCCGATATTAGTTATGGAACTACTACTTTGCTAAGAACAATTCACATATTTAGTACTATCAAACAATCATAATTAGTTCAGTGGCCGCTGTAAAAAAAATCAATCCTCCATACAAAATTACCCAATCCCCTTTCGTTTGATTTTGGCTAAAGTACGAATCGAAAACTAAACATTCTTTACCGATAAGCCCAAGGGGAACGTGCTGATGAGATAAAAGCGTAACTTCAATAGCCCTTAGTAAAAGTATGTGTGCACTACAGTATGTGTGTCAGCAGTGAGGGCGCACGTAACCTCTGGTTCAATCGCGACTGCCCTATTATAAAATAAACTATTTATAAAAAAGGTACATAAAGCTTTGAATATTACTCTGCAACGCAGCAACAAAAGTTTGAAGGGTGGTTTGACTGTATTGCTGACAGGAGACTTTCGTCAAACTCTACCAGTAGTTCCAAGGGGAACACGTGCCGATGAGATAAAAGCGTGTCTTAAAAGATCTTCATTCATCCATAGGTCGCTGGTTCATATCCGGCTCGAAGGACCATAAAATGTACTGTCCACCACGTATTTCACGTTGCAGAAGCACACTTGTAATATATCAGTTAATAGTTTTAAGAGTACGCCCGTATTAAGATGAAGAAATAGTTAAATGAAATAGAAAGTTGTTGTTGTTACTAAGTTTATTGCGATACTATTTAATATATTATAAAATTATTATATGTAAACAAAGTTACGTGCGCGGCGGTGACGCGCTAAGTAGGATGCAACATAAACATTATAAGTCATAATAATATGTTACGGTGAAACCGTACAGTGTCCCTTAGTTAAAATTTTAAAATTATCAAAACATATAAGAGTCCACCTTAGAGGTGACGTCTCCGCTAGCCATTTGTCGGATCTTTTGCTTAAACTGAGTAACGGTTATTTACCAGAAAAAGATGGCATGATATCTATCCCTTCCGATCTGTGCACATATATAAACATCTATGACTTAGATACAAATATTCTTATTCATCACACAAACATTTTCCCCGAACCCGGGACCTTTGAGTAGGCAACACCTTAAAACCGGCGCGGCGGAACAAAGCACTAAGTGTCGCCGCACACGGGCTACACGCCACAGCCACACGGCGTTTGTGGCTGTGGCGTGAGAAACTAGAAGCGGCTACTAAAGTGGCTGAAGCGCGCGGCAGCGGCCGACTAAGGTAAGGGAGAGAGGGGTGGGGAATCGCGCGAGTGACGTGTGGCGGCGTTTTGTATCGGCGCATTAAGTGGCCGGTGCGGGCCACAAGAAGCGAGCAACGACGATTTGTAGCGTGTGGCGACCACCAGCGTACCGTGTGTGACGAGTCCATATAAAATGTATTAAAACTACAAGAAATATGCCGGTGGCGGCGTTTTGTGGTTGTGGTCGGTGGCCCGTGTGCGGCGACATTAAGAGCTACAGAGGTCGTCGAAATCACGATCAATAGCTTTTCTTATTTGGAACATGCACAATGGCTAGTATTTTGTATTGTCTGTTGAATGGCTGCACCTAGTTTCTATGTAACTGTGTAAATACCACAGTAGTCGAGCATTGACCGGCATCAGTGATATCGATAGGAACCGCTTTCCATTCGAAATTATCAACATTTTCATATAAAATAACAACTTGAATGACAAGCACGTGTACCTGTGTGTATAAATGTGTTGACATACATTTCTTGACCTAACCCTAAATGTATTTTATAATTGATTAAAGTATTATATGTAGCAGGTAATTTTATCAAATTTTAAAGTAAATTTTCTGCACTTTTATTATAATTTGCAATATATATTTAATTTGCAATAGCCTTGCAGGGCTCAGTTTTGCATTAAATGATTTGACAGTGTGGTAACACCGTGCATATATAGCTCGGTGTTGCCATATTTAGTGATCGGTTCCCTACTGTTATTTTCATTGTTCACAGAAAAAAAATAAAATCATTGGTTCTTCTCAATCATTGGTGTCACTAATTTACATTATCAAAAGAGTCCACTGACCCTCAGTTTTAAAATTATAATTTATTAGTTCTCATATTATTTTAATGCTTAATTGAATCACTTATAGTGTTGTTACCGTATAGAAAGTTACAGCATTGAAACTTTAGTCAAACTTAATTGTTTTCTTTAAATGCGTTCGTGAGTGGTGGTTTAGATGGTAATTGTATAAATTATTTCCGAGAACATTCCTAAAGTTTCCGTTGTTTCCGTAGTAAGAAGATTAGTTAATTATACATGTTATGTATCTACCGGAAATATTACTGGAATAAACTTGAATTTCTTGCTAACTATCTGTATAATATGTGTCTTTCATTTAGCAACACACAGCGCAGCACATACAGTTAGATGATTTTATTCAGGATCTATTTCTATAAAATGTGGTTTGAGTTCTTGGTTTAAGGTTTCAGCATTCGCATTCCATATTAGATGCTATGAGGAGCTCCATGGCGCAAGTGGTTAGCGCGTTCGGCTGCGATCGTTAAAATAAAGCAACTTTTGCAGTGGTCGGTCATTGGATGGGTGATCAAAAATATACTATCTCGAGCACCTCCGTGCGCCCATCCAATAAAATTTTCACAAAAAAATCTCGTTTCAGTGAAATAAAACCTGCAATTTATCTGTTTCTTGGCATTTCTCCTCAAAACGTAGCTTTTCGACTTTGGAATCGTAAAGTGGTTATCCATCTTTCATCTTATAAAACAAATTTTCTGCTGACATAGAACTTCAACGTAGGACCTTTTACTGGTTGGCTTACTGTTGTAGAATTTGGGTCAGTAAAAAGTAATATAATTGGACCACTTTATATAGATCTTTCTTTTGAGGAGCTCGATGGCGCAGGTGGTTAGCGCGTTCGGCTGCGATCGTTAAAGTTAAGCAACTTTCGCAGTGGTCGATCATTGGATGGGTGACCAAAAGTTTACTATCTCGAGCTCCTCCGTGCTTCGGAAGGCACGTTAAACAGTTGGTCCCGGCTGCAACTGCAATCGTTAGCACCCACCAATCCACACTGGGCCCGCATGGTGAGTCATGCCCCAATCTCCAAACGTATTTTTTTTCGAATTTAATAACATTTCTGTCCTCCTTGCTACCATTACTTCTTCAATTTTATCATTATGACGATTTTGACGATCTTACTCTATCTTTATGTACAAAGTAGTACAAAAAAGTTAGACACGCTTTCAAAGCTTGTTAAGGCCAGTTTGTATGATTTTCCTTAACTCGTGTTCAACGCATGTCTTATTTTTTTGTAGTAATGAGGTGTCTGTGTTTCGCACGAGGTTATTTCCTTTTTTTTTCTTTCACAGGATCTTAGTGCGTGCGATAAGCTACACGGTGCACGGTCTTATCCCGGCGTCATGCGTATTCGCCGACCGTTACAACAGGGAGGAGGTGGTGCGCTCCCTGGGCAAGGAGGTGAACATCAACCCGCCGCTGATGCTGGGCCAGCTGCCCGACACGCCGGAGGAACTGCTAAAACTGGACCAGGTGAGTTCCAACACAACACAAGACAATTATGACAACGTAACGAGTAGCAAGTATTGTGAAGAGATTTAGCTTGTGAGTTCATCGCTATAATAGGGTGGACGTGGTGCGCTCTCTAGACAAGGAGGTGAACATCAACCTGCCGCTGATGCCGGAGGAACTGCTGAAACTGGACCAGGTGAGTTCCAACACAACACAAGACCACTGAGACAACGTAACGAGAAGCAAGTATTGTGAAGAGGTTTGGCTTGTGGGTTCACCGCTATAATAGGGTGGCCGTGGTGCGCTCTCTGGTCAAGGAGGTGAACATCAACCTGCCGCTGATGCTGGGCCAGCTGCCCGACACGCCGGAGGAACTGCTCAAACTGGACCAGGTGAGTTCCAACACAACACAAGACCACTAAGACAACGTAACGAGAAGCAAGTATTGTGAAGAGATGTGGTTTGTGTGTTCATCGCTATAATAGGGTGGACGTGGTGCGCTCTCTGGTCAAGGAGGTGAACATCAACCTGCCGCTGATGCTGGGCCAGCTGCCCGACACGCCGGAGGAACTGCTCAAACTGGACCAGGTGAGTTCCAACACAACACAAGACCACTAAGACAACGTAACGAGAAGCAAGTATTGTAAAGAGGTTTGGCGTGTGTGTTCACCGCTACAACAGGCAGGAGGTGGAGCGCTCCCTGGGCAAGGAGGTGAACATCAACCTGCCGCTGATGCTGGGCCAGTTGCCCGACACGCCGGAGGAAACCAGGTGAACTCCAACACAACACAAGACCACTAAGACAACGTAACGAGAAGCAAGTATTGAAAGAGGTTTGGCGTGTGTGTTCACCGCTACAATAGGGTGGAGGTGCTGCACTCTCTAGGCAAGGAGGTCATCATTAGTCCGCCAATGGTGCTGGGCCAGCTACCCGATACGCCGAAAGAACTGCTCAAACTAGACCAGGTGAGGTCGATCACAACACAAAACAACTCAACGTAACGAGTAGAAAGTATTGTAAAGAGGTTTGGCATGTGTGTTCACCGCTACAATAGGGTGGAGGTGCTGCACTCTCTAGGCAAAGAGGTCATCATTAGTCCGCCAATGGTGCTGGGCCAGCTACCCGATACGCCGGAAGAACTGCTCAAACTGGACCAGGTGAGGTCGATCACAACACAAAACAACTCAACGTAACGAGTAGAAAGTATTGTAAAGAGGTTTGGCGTGTGTGTTCACCGCTACAATAGGGTGGAGGTACTGCGCTCTCTAGGCAAAGAGGTCATCATTAGTCCGCCAATGGTGCTGGGCCAGCTGCCCGACACGCCGGAGGAACTGCTCAAAATGGACCGGGTGAGATCGATAATAACACAAAAAAACGCAACGTAAGAAGTAGAAAGTATTGTGAAGAGGTTTGGCGTGTGTGTTCACCGCTACAACATATTAAGAAGTTAGTATGCTCTCTGGGAAGTAAACATCAACCCGCCTGTGATGCTGAGCCCGCTGCCCGACACACCAGAGGAACTGAAGCCCAAGCACGTACTTTGACAGCTCTGTAATCGTATCGCATCGTGAAAGTTTCTATGAAAACTAAGTAACGCCTCTACCAGCAGTAAGAACAAAGTGACTCCTTTCATATAAAGTTTTACGATGACGATGCGATTATGGAGCTGTCCAAGTTTGTGCCGACCGGTCGACCACGATACAAAACCGGTATCCCAACGTTTAAAAGACTAACTGTAACTGTGTGGCATAACCACAAACGTCCTTTTTGTTCATTCCATTTTTATTAACCATTTGCCATTACTATTTTTAAAATGTTCGTTTATGCAGTATAAAAGTTCTTATAAGAACTTTTTTAATAAAATTAACTTTTAAAAGCTAAAACTGGTAAAATTCTGTTTGCAGCAGTGAAAATATAAAACTCTACACATATATTTAATTATTCTTAAATATAAAAAAATACTTTCTAAGAAAATTCTCAACTGATGGACGCATAGCCATTGGGTATAGAATCCGAAAAAGTTAACGGAGGAACTCGATAGCGCAGTGGCTATCACGTGTGTCCTACGACAGCAGTTAATCAACTTTCGGAAAGGCTTTGCTTAATGCGATCTTACTTGGGAGCCACGTTGAACCGTTTGATATAGAATTGGCACTGCCGTCTGCGTGTTCTCCTCTATACTTACGGAAAGCCTGTGCCCCAGTAGTGAGGACATAGGATTATGACGATGTTATTTTTATACGAGGCGCAAGAAATAACCCCCGCCCATCCCCTCCCCTCCCATCAGATTTTAAGTGTAAGTGAAATCCACTCGCGAAGATAGATGATGCGGCAGAAGGTGTGGCTTCAGCCATCCTCACCTTGCTGGTCAGAACCCATTACCATGCCCTGCAAAACCCTCATCACCATCAGAAACACAGCACCACCAAAAGCTAGTGTAACTCTACTGTCTTCTGTAAGGTGAAAGTTGCTTTCCCAAACGGGCGCTCCAATTCTAGCGGAAAATCGGCTGTGCCCTAACTCTCTTATATTTCTACTAGCGGCCCGCCCTCGCTTCGCTTCGGTGTAGAGCTGAAGTGTAGACGACAGTTTTTGTTCTGAGGCTTGTATTATACACAATGACATTCATCTACTATTCTTCTTATACCTGCATACAAAGTCTCAGCCCGATCGGTTTAAAATTGACAAAGTTTCATACAAACTTTCATTCCCTATTTTATCCCCTTGGGGGTAGAATTGATCAAAATCCTTTCTTAGCGGATGCCTGCGTCATAACATCTACCTGCATGCCAAATTTCAGCCCGATCCGTCCAGTGGTTTGGGCTGTGCGTTGATAGATCACTATGTCAGTTATAGAGTTATATATATATAGATTATAAATCTAAAGAGAAAAATCACGCGTAAATAAAATTCTCAGTCTCGTCGCTTTAGATAGAAATCGCAAGAACACCGCTTCGCCATACTCACTCACCTCATCAAACATTCATCGGCGAGACGGCATCACAAGTGAATCAGCAATAAAAACCTTTTCTCGTCCGTCGCCTTGATTGTTTTTTCAGTTCCCAATTACGAATAAACGACTGCGCCGCTTCCAGGCGTGAAATATTGATGAGTTCTATACTAACAGTGCTTGTGACGGCGGCGGGGAATCGTCTAAATCAAAGTTACCCCAGTAATCTGTTACAGTCTGTGTCTACGTAGCTACTTCAATAAATATTATAATTACAAAGATAAAGAGCGTCACAGTTTGGGAGTGGTGGCTCGTGACGTCACTTCTAAGTAAAAATTGTACCAAGACGTGACGTCATGCGACATTTCAAGTAAATATGTCTCTGTAATGTTTTGTTTATATAAAAAAAATACGTGTCCAATACTTTTTGACAATCTATTAGGCGAAGAAAAATAAATTTGTCAACTTTTTCTATACTTACATCAATGATATACAATGACTTTTTACCTTAAACCTCACAATTATGAAAAAACACCAGTCCCCGTAGCATGAGCACCACAATTTACATTACATCACACCTAACTGTCAACCTCCATAGTAATTTGACAGTTGAGCGTGATAAAAACGAGTGTCAAATCATTTCGCAGTGGTAATGCTAGGGGGCAGGAGCGGAAAGTATTTTTAAGAGCGAGGTACAACTATACCTTACAGAAAACCGTAATGAAATAACTTTAAAAAATAACTTTTGTTGACGATGTGTTTCTGTCGGTGTATAAAGTTTTCAGGATTCCATTAGGTTGGAAATAGGATCAGTACCCTTAGTAAAAACCAATATCCAATTCGAATAGCTTGCGAATACGAAATGTCATTGTCGAATTTTGAATGGAAACTTGAACAGCAACGCCAAAACGGACTTATCTAGAGCTAAAAATCAGTACAAATTTGACATATAAAATAGATCGTACTAAATTCAACTATTCAAATTCGATAATGCTTCGTGTAGGCAACATGGGATGCTTATAGGATCTAGAGAATAGAGAATGCTTTAAATATAATAAATAATTTGATGAATTCATTTTGAACTACCTTCTTACCATCTTTGCTATAATTCTCCGGTTTACTGGTAGAGAATGCCTAAGGGCATTAAGTCCGCCACTTGTACACTCATTTGTGCAATATAGTATAAATAAATAAATATGCATAATGCAAATCATGAAGAATATTGTGGAATTATTTATGTATGTATGCTATGCGTGCCTAAACATAGATTGCACAACTACACTATATTATGACAGATATTCTATTGAGCTTTTCACCGCATTTGGTTTTGCTTAAATCCAAGTTAGTTGTACTTGGTTGTACTGTAATAAACCTGTGGCTTACTGAAGTTTCCCCAAAACATAGCACAGTATTTTAAATTTTCAGTAACATCATTAAAACAGTAGACTACTGACAGACGGGCGGACGTAGAACGTTGTCAAAATACAACATAATTGTTAAATGAACATACATTTTATTTGTACCATAGCCTATTTTCTTTCTAAGTATATATAATATAATTTAAGCTACATATATGTATGAAGAATACATTATTGCGCTCCAAACAACGTAGTGACAGCAAATAGGAACCGAGAATAGATTGAGTTTGGCTGGACTAAATTGTCGTTCCAACATAATACTGACAGATTTCCAACAAGTCCCCATAATAAAGTCTTATTTCCCGGAATTTGTCTTTTACCATCTGTGTGGAAAAGTTTGCAGCTGGTGCTATTCGCGATTTCATATCTAAATATTCCTCTCAGTCTTATTACAATAAATCAATGTCAGCAACCATCACCATTTACCGCGGCACAAATTTTGCACTGTGGCACCGAAACGGGGCTTCCCGGCGGAGAATCCACGAAGTAATCACAATAATGGACTAATGACAAGTTGGATGCTGTGATCTCTACTCCCCCCCTTCCATCCACTTCGCCATCTGATGAGGGTGTGCCCGCGTAAACGTTAATTAAGATACTCTCATAATGGAGTTCGCGACTATTAGTAAAAGATTCTAAAAGATTTGTTTCT